ATTTATAAATAAGTATAAGGTCTAAATAAATTATCGTAAGTACAAAGAAATTTCGAAAATTGTCCGTATAGTACATATAGCTCTGTTTCATTGTTCACAACAGTAGTAATAGCCAATGGTCACATACATTTGCAGTATTAATTGATCATATCTTTAAGACGATGTTCACAGCATGCCAACAGCAGACAGTAGGATTACAACTGAGGTTACAGTTCATTTTTACGACTGTATTTTCTCACATATAAACAATATTGTTACGACAGCGTAAGTCACGTGACTCTAGTAACACGTCATGATATTCTCGAAGGTTCGTGAATGCTCGAGTGTTTACTGGATGTGCGGTATTCTTGTATATAAGACCGCCAAGAAGTGACGGCAACAATGGGGAATTGAATTGCAGAATGAGATAGAGACGGACAATTGAGTCAAGTGCCTGAATCGTTCGTTGTGAATTATAGCGTTTGTTTAAGTTATAGCGTGACTGTGGAAATTAAGTGTATTGCAAAGTTGTATTGAGAAAGAATAAACTAGTTTTATATGAGAAAGGACTTGTATCGCTAAAGTATGAAGACTTAAAAGGCCTAAAATTGTCACATATAGAGTAATAAATGAAAGCTTCATAAATATGGATGTCAGCAGGGGGGAAATGGAGCACTTCCCCTTAGAAAATAAGAACTATATTTCTTTCTATATTAGGCAGTTGTTCTACCACGGTTGATTTTTTGATACTGGCTCCTTTTCCCTCTGGAGAAATTTCTGTGGACGCCTATGCCCATAAATAATTCCACCAAAGCTTAAAAGAAACAAACTGTAATTTAATAATTACATCATATAACACATAAACAGCCTGCTACGAATTGCAGATAGAAATGTGTTATTTTTCAGATAAAATCAATTTCCAAACAAGTATCAGATAGACGAACACGCAAATTTGATCAAGAAATAAGAGCGTAAACAGTAAGAGGTTTATTTGTTTGGTTGGTTATAGTTAAGCACAAAGCTACACAAAGGGATATCTCTGTTCTGTCCACCACGGGTATCAAAATCCGGTTTCTAGCGTTGTAAGTCCGCTGACATACTGCTGTGCCACTGGGGGGGGGGGGGAGGCAGTAAGAGGTAACTTAACTTAGTTCCCTTAAATGTAAAATAACGAATTACAAAAGACCTGACAATCTTATGATAGAAAATGCGCAAACAAAATGCGCTTGAATTGAACAGGTCAACTCACTTTCTTTGTTTAGTCGACATTAGCCCCTCGTGTCTTTTGTTCCCATTGTCATAATTGGCCAGCAAATGATATTACATTACCAATCACTTTAACCCATATATTGTTATTACTGCAATGTCCCCTCTGCCAGAATAATCACCCACTGGAGAGAACAAAGAACAAAACAACTAAAACAAAGTAGTCTTAACGACTTTCTGGACCATATGTTGCTGCCATTACAGTATGGAAACTAAGTAACCGAAAAAAGCTAAAACAATCTCTACATAGCTAAAGCAGATGGTATCTTCCATATCCTCCCTTCTTTCTTAACCGTAAAATCAATTATCTTTAGTCTCGTGACATGGTCAAGGAGCACTTTCACTTTCTTTATACATAGCGTTTTGTTTGTTTTTAGAACAAACCCACACTGGGCTAGTTACTGTGTCCACCACAGGGAATCGAACAAGAGATTTCAGCGTTGTAAGTCTGTAAACTTACTGCTGTCCCACCGTGGAATGTTATCCATAGAAACACTTACATGTCACACAGACGAAACAAATCTTTTAACGATGAATTACGCTAATATTCAAAACTTTTATCACTGATTAATAATTTAAATTCGTAAAATTCCATTTTAAAAATTTTAAGCAAAATTAAAACCATAATTGTTAACCCTAATCATAAAACTATCACTACTATACACTCTTTATTGCTAAACTCGCAATCACGCAGTCTACACAGCGTGGTCACAAGTAAATAGACTGCACCTTTTCAGAAAAAATGAAATTTTTCAGTCATATTCACATGAATTG